GAGCACAGCTCAATTTCTGCCTTTTTTTTTTTTTCTCCCTGGAAAACATTACAGCAATTACCATATTGTGGGGCGGCATTATCAAGTGCAAATTAGCATATAGATTAGTTCTGGGGGGCAGGGAGGAGAGGTGGGTTAAGATCTTTAAAATCATGTATAGTTACGCTCGCCAAGAGGGGCGTGTGGAAACCTTCCGGGTCCTGGTCGACCTAACCCTGGGTGTTTGGATCTGATGGGCGTCAGCTGACAATTTCTAAGGGAACAAAGAAAATGCAGCTCTGATTGCCGCTGAGCCATGCCTAGGAATCGGCAGCGTTAAAAAGTTGCAGATGTGTTCGGTAGGGTTTTCAGACTTGCACTTGCACTTGAGGAGTTAAAAACTCCCTGTCATTAGGATCACCCAGGGTAGGTTAGGTTTTGCGTTTGGTTCAAGAAATGACAATGGTTAAATTTTTTACCGATGGAGTAGAAAGAGGAATAGAGAAAAGAAAGGACCACAACCCAGAATTGACACTTTTTGGGGGAAGTGCGACAAAAGATAGGGTGCAAAAAGGCAATAGACTGATTTATTACCTCCAAAGTAAGAAAATAAAAACAGATTCATTGAAAAATGGTCATTTATAGGACTTACTTTCTCTTTCTAGAATCTCTAGAGGAGACTAGCTCATTGTCCCTCAGCCACTTGGTATTTACTGATAACCTGGTGTGCGCACCACCCCGAACGAATGGTAGAACATGGGGGTGTGGTGCTAGCTGTCACGTTCACCACATGCAATCCTCTTTTTTTTTTTTTTTGAGAGAGATTTTCATTGTAGGGCGCATGCGCTCGCCAGACAGACAGAGAGAGACATAGAGACAGCGAGAAATCACCCCCCAGGGGGGATGGTCACACCGCAATCCCTTCTCCTCCATTCTCCTCTCGGGATCTTGGGCACGCACGCACACGCGCCCGACGTGAGTTTTAAGCCACCGGGTCCGGGACACGAACCGCGGTCGACTATGTGGGAGTCCAGCGACATAGCCATTACGCTAACTGCTGGTTCCCACCACATGCAATCCTCTTTGTAAAGCAGTTTACTTATTTATATTTTCATGAGTGAATGAGACAGACAGAGAGGGAGAGAAAAGAGTCAGAGAGGGGCACTTCCAACAGGGTCCTGATGCTCCAATGGCCCTGAGCCTCTGCCACCCCCAGGTTAGGGGCACCTGCATGCCCAGCATATTCAAGGAGGTTTCTACACGCGAATCTGGAACCTTCCCACGTGGAACAGCCTTGCCTGCTGTATATAGTCGTGTGAAGAAATGGTATGACTGCGGGAACCAGCAGTTAGCGTAATGGCTATGTCGCTGGGCTCCCACGTAGTCGGCCGCGGTTCGCGTCCTGGACCTGGTGGCTTAAAACT